GCTCTCTGGTTTCCCTGGAAAATTAAAGCACAGAGTTAACACTTCACCTCTGAACTCACAGGTTGTGTGGATCAAGCCCTGAACTCATTTGGAGCGGATGTTCTCACCTCGAGCCTGACGAGGCGAACGTGATCTACAGTGCATGAGGAGGAGTTCAGCCCACACGGCATCAGCAACATTGAATGAAGGTCAGAGCAGAACAACTCTGTAGGCAGCTGTGGAGAAACACATGAGTGCAACAAACAGGTTTTTTACCATTAGAAGGGCAGATTTCTAAAAAACAAACGGAGCCAGGTTTGGTGTGTGAAGCTGTGGACAATAAAATCAAACCAACAGAAGATGAAATCGAAGATGATCAAGCTTGCACGACGAGTTTCTCATGAAGCAAAGGTCAGAAAAACATTCTTCATTCTAAACCAAACCAACGCTCACAGGAAATGTCAGGAGAGTTTAAGCCCAGGAGACCACACAAGATAAGAATCTGCAAAACACTCGCTCTGAATACTGAAATTGTAAGAGCTTTTAACCGTCTTACACTATTGGACCAGTCCCTAGTTTGTACGAGTGTGTAAATCCAGTTTTTCTGACCCAACCTCAATGTCAGATACTAAATAAAGGAGATTACACAACACTGACACAGTGGAGAGGAGTGTGTAAGATGTGAAGTCTCTCCCTTGATGAGGTTTTGTTCCGTTTCCATTTGGTACACTGGAATGTGAAATTAGACAAACAGAAACCACAAAGGAGTTAAAAGGTGTAAAGTTTTCCATCTGCCAGCAACCAGAAGCCAGATGAATGTCGTCTGTAAAAATTCAAATTCCATCAAATATTAACAAACCCTGTTTTCTCAGTGGTTTTGCTTCTTTTTTACTGATGGGTTTTGGTGATTTTTCGTCAGACGACGTACAGTTATAAAATCATGATTTGACCCAGACGTAGACTTACGGTGTTGACCTGGACTTTGATTTTCTCAAACAAACAGACAGTTGTATAAAGAGATTGTTGAGAGATAAAACAAATATACCTATCTCTCCGTCCATTGTTTTCCCGTCATTTCCAGGTGTTTTTCTGTTTTTTCCTGCTTTTTAGGGAGAAAAATCCTAAAATGAACAAATGCAATTTGTTGGATCAGGAACAGTTCGTCATATTCTTTGTTTCTCACCTGAGGACTGAGATCTGAAGGTAAACTGTTGCTTTTTCTTAGAGGAACGGCTCATCACTTCACATTTCAGTAACTCATATTTCTTTGACGTGTAAATGAAATGAGAAGTTGAAAAGCTTGCAGTGGCTGAGCAGCGATTCTGTGAAGTCCTCAAGTCTTTGTTATATTTATCCACATCTGTACCAATAAACTGCCACTTCACTGAGACTGACTGTCTACAGTCTCCATACGTCGACACAAAGCAGGTTAACGTCACCTCATCACCGTCCTTCTGTTCAGTTACTGGTGAAGACGGAGACATTGAGAGAGAAAGACAAGAGAGAAATGAACTTCATCACTGTAATAATCATCATGATTGTAAAGTTTCAGAGTTTTGTTCTAACAGACAGTTTGATGTAAATACTCACTGGTAACAACAGACAGAAGAACCAGAGCATCTGGAGCTTGTTGTCGTCCTGATTCAAACTGTCTGCAGACGTACAGACCAAAATCCTCACGTGAGACGTTCTTTAGAACCAGAGAACAGTTCTCTGTCAGACTCAGTCTGTCTGATTTAGTCTGAGCATCTTTACCAATCTGACCCTGGACAACCAGGTCTACAGATGATTCTATTGAATGACTGAAGGTCCAGTAAGTACTGCCACATTTATCCTGATCATGTCTGGCATTTTTACAAGGCAGAGCGGCTTCATCTCCATCTCTGACAAAGAATGAATCTTGTCCTGTGACAGCTGCTGAGAAGACGAGAGAGAAACATGAACAAATGAACTAAAGTAAGGACACGACTGACATGTCAGCGTCAGGATCATTTTAGACACAACTGCAGTTAAATGTCCCTCGAACGTGGTTTCCAAGAGACCACTGAACACACCACATTAAAAACAAGCAGCATGAAGCAATCGAGTGCTAGTATTACTCATATCAATAAAGTGTTGTAATGTCTTGTACTGTATGTGTCCTTACCTGTAAACTGAAGCACCAGCATCAGGTTTAAAGACATTTTAATCCATCCGAATTCAAACATTGTTCCCGTGTTGCCCATCTTTTCTTTTCTGCGTCTCGTTCTCACGCTCGTCTCTGATCTACTTCTTAAGAACAACTCGTGCAATGTGGTGTTTACTTCCTGAGAGAAGTGTTTATCAGTTCCTCATTGTGACATCTCTCCTCTTTTGTAATGTGCTGTGTTCATGAAGGAAGAGTTTCTCCCCGATGAGCAGTCAGCACCCTGACAGCAGGTGGTGTCTGTCTAACCGTCACCCAGGATAACTTTTCCTTACCTGGCTTAACTGAACCTAACATTGACCGTCCTGGTTACCTGTGCTACAGTGCTGGTTATCACCTGGCTCAGTGAACTCGACATTTCATCTTAATAAAACAATCATAACTTCTGAAATAAGATACACAGCAAAATATGAACAAGACATACAAATAAAATAAAGACAATTAAAGGAAATAAATGCAGCATATAAATAATGATCATGAAACACAAATAGTTACAAAACCAAACTACAACATGAGACCACCATGAAAGGAAAGATATTAAGGAAAATATTTAAAGCTTTACAAGTTTCTACTGTTTTTATTGCTTCACTGTTCTTTAGTCCATGTAATGAATCAATATAGTGTTCAGTTTGTGAACCCTGGGTTTACCTGTGCAGGTACGAGCGCCTTCATGTGACATTGTCAGAACCACTAATAAAGTATTAATACGACATGAGAAGAAACGCTGACACTTGCAGGTAAATTCAGTTCCAGCGACGTCACAAAGTGATACTCAACAAGGTGAAATGTAAACACTATGATCACATGACGGGAATAACAAAGAAACACTAGAAACAACGTCCAACGACTAAAGTCAAACTGAGGATAAACTATAAATAACAACAAGAATTAACAGCAAGGACCTCTTTTGTCTGATGATGAACAAACTCTATGAACATGTGATGCAGGTAAAGTTAAAGTGATGTCAGACTGTTTCTGTTTCTGACTCTAACGTTCATTTATAATCATGGAAATATTTCATATTATTCTAATTAATGAAATCAGAGTTTTAGTTTCTATTTCTAGTTGTGGTCAGAGAGTCTGATCATGTCATTCTGAGCTGCACTGTAAAAAATAATCCTAATTTTACGGAAAATAACTCTTAAGTTTTCTAACAGTAATTCTCTGTTTTTTTTTAAGATTGTGAACAAAAGTCTGTAAAATGACAGAAATGATGTGAATTAACAGCCAAACTTCTATTTGAAGCATTATGCCAATAATAATGAATTACATTTATTTCCCATTTCTGTAAAGACAAATTACTGTATTATTTATACTGTGTTATTTCTGCTTTCTTAAATTACATACAAATCTGTGTAAAATGACAATAATTATCTGTAATTAAAATATAGCTTGTTAATATAAAGGTTAATGTCCATACTAACAATTTAAAGATTCTCTGTAATTTCAGGATGAATCTTATTAGTTTTACATTTATGTGACTTCTACATTCAAACTTTGTGATTCTGGATGAAATGTAGCAAACTTTTTTTCATCACATCAAACATTCAAACTTCAAACAAAAAGAGTTTGAAGTACTGGAATGTATCCCAGCATGCACTGGGAGGAAAGCAGGAAATTGGTTTATCATACAATCAGACACACACACACACACACACACACACACACACACACACACACACATGCAACAATCACAACACACACACACACACACACACACACACACACACACACACACACACACACACACACACATTCAGACCTATGAACAGTTTAGAGTCCTCAGTGAATGAAATGTCATGTCTTTTGTTGTAGTAATCAGAGTCCTGGAGGAAACACAAGGAGAACATGCAACACTGCAGGAAGAAGCAGGGCTGAAGCTGAACCCAGGAGCTTCTTGCTGTTGTCTTCCTGCCTGGACTTTACTAGTCTGTGTGGAGAGGGTGGGGTGGGGAGGAGGGAGGGGTGGATCTGACCTGTGTCCTCGAGGACACCAGGTAAACCCACCTGCATCAACCTGACAGCAACAGGCTCCTGGCTGAGCCGTGCGAAGATGCTGCTAACACGGTTAGCTGTCACAACTGTTACATCAGTCTTACAGGCTGACTGCAGATATCATATATGTGAGGAGTAACTTGTAATGTTATTGTAGCTGAAGTAGCATGTGTGCTAACGTTAAACTGTAAAAACCACAGTGTAAAACGTTTTCTAACACTAAGACCGG